AAAAAAAAACCAACAATAAATAATAAACTATCATATCCCTTGTCATGTTGTCACTTATCCTAATATGCCTCATCATAATTTTTATTGTATTTTGTGGGATTATCGTTACATAATCTATACCTCAAAGACATATAAAAATATTATAATATTAACATAACTTTATTCATAAATAATAATCTGTTATTGCCAAATTTTGTGCTCATTTTAACTATTTTTGTACGATTATTTGATTTTTAAATTTTTGAAAAAATTCGTAGATTTTTAAAATATTTATTTATTAGTAGGCAATTGTACCGAATGCACTTCTAACCTAGGGTCTTCTAGCATGTGATGATCTGTCACTCCCACTGTTTTCTGATAACTGTTAACTTTTATATTGATAGAAGAGATAGATACAAAATGGCAAAGGTAAATTCAGGAGTACCTTAAGTACACAGAACTCCTGGTAAAAAGAAATAGGGTTATAAAATAATCCCCTTACACAGTATTCAGGAAATGTAAAAAGAAAGTAGAGAGAAAAATGGGGTTATAAAATTATCCCCTTACACAGTATTCGGGAAATGTACAAAGAGAGTAGGGAGAGTAGATCACAAAAAATTCCAAGCCAAGAAAGATGAGCGTGTTCTGTAGCCGACCCGAAACCAACTGTGGTATGGCCTATTGTTCAATATGGGCCTTGGCTCCGTCCTTGGCCAGCAGGTCTACGAACCCGTTTGATGTCCGCGAGATATGCATTCATAAGACAGGTGTAATCCGTCACTCCCACTTCCACTTCCAAAAACTATGAAACAATCTACCTTCAAAAATCTCGGACCAATCTGTGTGCCAAGTTATAATGTTACGGCTGCATCGGCTCAAATAAATCTTCCAATATGTATCTTATGGTCAACGATCGATACGCCCTTTTCTGAGCAAATTTTATGGATATCAATTATCAATATAAGAAAAGGAAAGCAGCTAAGGTTGGTGTGCACTTCTTTTAAGCTGAAGAATAACAATTCATTAAAACTAAGCAGGGATTCCACCATGTAGGCATAACATTCTTGGACTCCATCTCTCCACCCAACAATAAAAAATACAATATCCTCCAATGACCTTTCGCCATATTGCCTGAGTCCACATCTAAAAGTAATATCCGTTTGTTTCTAAAATACGAATCTAGCTCATTTCGCTGTGAAGTGAAATGAGCTAGATGTCGAGGGCTCTAAAAGGGTAAGGGGTGATATGGTTTAAGTGGAAGGCTCTAAAAGGACAAGTGAAAGGCTCAAAATGATATGGATGGAAGTAATGTGAAGAGATATGGTGAATTATAGTCTCATTGAGGGTATGGTCCTTGATAGAGCAAAATGGCGAAACCAATATTCCAAAAATGTCGAGCGGCGCCGAAGTGGCTGGGGGTTATGGCCATCCAACGCCTAGAGCTTCTTGGGAACAAAGGTAGGAGTTACCTGATCTAACTGTTCTAGGTCCAACAACTAGTTGCTCTCATCATCATTATCAAAGACTCAAACCCCAGCCCTTAACTCCGCTGTTGTGCCTCGTTTTTTTTTTTTTTACCTTTTTACTAAATTTATAGAATCTGTAATCTCCTCCCTAATCGCGAACGTCCCCCTGATACCGGTAAGATATTTCTTGAACCGGTTTATACACCCCTTGGTTTCTCTTTCACAATAATTGCTTCTTATACAATTTTTATTTAGAGGATTCTGGTTATAACTATATTTCCAGCCTGGATTACCACTTCTAGTGCAACCCGTATTTGGAAATAACAAAGGCATTCTCAAATACAAAGTATTTTCACTAACCTGGATTCCTCGATCTTCAATCTTCCACCTTTGAGTTGTTTCTTGATCTCAAATGGTTCTCGAAATCCCTCTAATAGGCTTCTAAAATCTACAAAATCAAATCCAAACCAAAAGGATGACATTTGGAACGATTTTTTACGACTTTGAATTACCCGATCGATCTTACAACAATGTAAAAATGTGCATTTTTTTTTTTCACTCCAAAATATAAAAAAAGGGGGTTTAGGTCTAAAAAAAAAAAGTCTAAGAAGAGGAATGGAGGGAGGATTCTTTGCTTAAACAGCTCATTTAGCTATGTGGGAAGCGCCCAACTGAATTTGGGAAGCCGTTGAAAGGGCTAGAATTGCCAAGCAAATTCTTATGAGATGAGCTTCTAGCCATCTGATATAGTTAATTTAGTCAACACTTCTATTTGCATTGTAAGAGAGGCCCCATTCTGGTCTTAGGTGACACACAATTGGTGTGATAGAGTGTCGCAATTTATGGATTATTCATAGTTACTAGAATCTCTCACCCAAGTGGCAATTCCACTTTGGAGTCCTGATTTGGCGATTCCATCAAGGAATCTTTTGGGAACCCATTTTTGTAGAGTCAAGAATCTCGATTCCACATTTATTAAATCTCAATTTGATTGTTTTAGAATCCAGATTTCACAACATCAAATAATGTAGTTCGTAAATGGACAAAACTGTGATTCAATCAATCTGCAATCTTGCGTCCATTTTAATATAATCTCCATTCGATTTTTTGTAATTATGTAAAAAGTGGATGTCACGTCAACAAGTAGTATGTTGTAAAATAAATTGGGAAAGGTTTCTATACTTCCCCTACAACATTGAAGATATATGCTTCCCTTCCCATCCAGCCATCCAATTTTGATCAAGTGAGCCAATCACCATTGATCTTAGATCCGACGCCTCAAAGTATTTTGTTTTTAGTTTTTTTTTCTACAAATTGTATGAATATGAATTTTGATACGTGTCATCTTCTCATTGGGGCGCACTTAAAAAAAAATGTTAAAAAGAATTTTTTGATAAAATATATGATCACAATATCCTTTGAAATTTTCAGGGGTATTTTGGTCATTTTATTTTATTTAGAATATTTTTTTTTATATTTTTTGCAAGTGTGAGTTTATGAGAGGATTGGACGCCCAAAACTTGGAGTCAAAATAATTTGTATAAAAAATTAAAAATAAAATGGTGTAGAGACGTGACATTGTGATTGAGGTCATCTTAGCCATCCATTCAAAATGGACGGTTGGATAAAGGGAAGTATATAAATTTTATGTTGTAGGGGAAGCATAGAAAGCTTGCCCAACAAATTAGGGATTCTTACACAACTTGTTTTACTACTATTACTAGAACTTTCTGACTACTTCTTAAAGAGAAATAGGAAAGATTATTGGGTTCTATTTGATTCCCACATATTACAACATAGAGCATCACAAAGACACAAATGAAGTCTCATTTCAAGTATTTATATAAAAAACAAAATCTGATTTTCAAGTATAAATAAAATAATATTTGTATGTTTTGTAATCACAAACACGACTTCCCTAGTGGACTATTGAAACATTATTCTATTTCAAATTTATTATTATTTAATTATGATTGGTGTTTAAGAACGCTATGGGTGTCTGCGAACTGTACGTAACATTATTCCTAAATTCTGAGAACCTGGAATAAATATGTTGTCTTTTCAAGTTCATTATTTACAAATCAAGTATTTTACGTTCTTTATTCAATCCACAACCTCAATAAGGCCATTCAATACATTAATTTATTATCATGTGAACCCTTATCCAGGTCTTTAAGACCGTTGAGGATCTTGATTCTAAATACTCAGGGAACCTTGGCTAAGCATATTGATTCCAACACTAAGGGATTCTTGCTTAAGTATGTTCTAGAATCTCGAACCTTTTGTCCCATGAAACTCCTTTCCTGTTCTGTTGTGGTTCCAAGTGGTTGGTTGCATGATTCCATAAAGGTATTAGTCTTGATTCCGATTAGGTTGAAACTCAATTTTAACAAGTTTTTGAATCTTGATTCCAATTGGGTCGGTACGCAATTCTAAAATGCTAGGAATCTGGATTTCATTTGGGTTGGATTATTTTCCCAGAAAATAGAAATCTAAATTCTTGCAATACACATTGTATAGACGGTGGCTCCAACAATGGGAATCTTCTAGCCGCCCTTGATTCCTCTGTTCCGATTCTTAAGATGATTATGAATCTCAGGTGTTTCCAACAACTATGGGATGCTTATAAAAACATTTTCTAACTAACATAGAGGGGGGGCAGGGGGAAGGGAGGGGTGGGCAGGAGGGGGGTTTTTTTTTTTTGGGTTTGTTTATTTATTTATTTTGTTTTTTGGGGTGGGGAGCATGGGACATGTGGCCGAGAGAGAGATCTACCAGGAGTTTATTTGGCCATCTCTCTCTCTCTCTCTCTCTTCACGACCTTCTCTTCAATCAACTACGGCCATAAAAATACACGGTTGACTGGGGCCTCAACCCAAGCAACTCTTTGTCTATGGTTTAGGTCGGGTCGCCACCTCTGCAACCTTGGGTTCCACCTTCCTTAGCTATAACGAAATTAAAGACTGCAAGATAATATGTTGAACTAATTTTTTTTAACTATAAATCAGAAAATTTAAAGAATCAGAAAAAACGGAAAGAGTATTTTTTTGCAGTAACAATACTCGGGCGAGTACTGTACAGGTGCCCATACCCCATATTTGGGCAGCACTACTCTCCTTAGCAGGGTGGCAAGGCATATTAACTCGGCAAAATTTTTAAAACACGGTTATAGATATTTTTAACTTGTTCAATACTGCACTTATGACTTGTTGCTCTGTTTATGACTCTTTGGTGAATCTGGATACTTCAGAAGGAGTACAATTCCATCGACTGCTATAGGATCTCAATCCTAGCAACTTGTCCAAGGTTCTTGTAGCAAGATTGCAGCTATCTCCTTTCCAAGCTGTTTTCCTTAAAACTAAACTAATCCAAACTTCTATTTGAACTCCATATATCTCTGGCCTTTAGAGGAATACGTGCTTTGAGGACGTTCATATGCTTGTAGTTCTGATTTGATCAGATTTCATTTGATTTGCTGAGTTATTTGATAACTATGGTATTTCCGTTGGAGTTTTGCCTGCCTCTAATATGGACAATGTTTTTCTATTTTCACAGGTGGCTAAGCCAATTCGTTACTTTCTTGAAGCTCATTCAGATGCAAAGGGCATAAAACAGCTTATTCGACTTATTCTGTCGAAATTTGGGCGTCGACAACCAGGTAGATCCGATAATGATTGGGCAAATATGTGGCGTGATATGCAGTGCCTCCAGGAGAAGGCATTTCCATTTTTGGATGTTGAGTACATGCTCACTGAGTTCTGTGGAGGCCTTTTAAAAGCAGGGAAGTTTTCCCTTGCAAGGAACTACCTAAAGGGCACTGGTAGCAATGCTTTGGCAGCAGATAAGGCAGAGAAGCTAGTTATTCAAGCAGCTAGAGAATACCTTTTCTCGGCATCGAGTTTTGATTGTTCAGAAGTGAGTATGAACATGGCCTTTGTGGTTTTCTGGTTGGAGAATGGAGGTCTATAACGTTTAATTACATAAAGAAAACATGCAAATTTGTTAGTAATATCCTCATAAGACCTGTGATGATTATTCTCTTGTTTGTTTTGAAGGAAAGGGCATGGATTTGGCCTTTATTCATTATGGAAAGCGTGTGGCTTCTGTAACTCATTCTCTATGGTCATGTTAGTAAAAAATGCAATGTACCGTTCAGTTTTAGAAATTTTTGGCATCTGTTTTAAACCATCACCAATTCTTGTTTTGATGCAGACAGTCATGTTGCGGTGTATGCAGCATTTAGCATGTATCCAGGGATCTTTGTTTTTATGTATGTCTCTATATGCATGTGTGTTTTCTTTGCATTTTCTCATGTGTCTATAAACTTTATCATGAGTTTTTACTAATGCGGTCAATTTCCTGCTAAAAACATCAGGCTGTGTATGTATTTTTCCAAAGCTACCTGCTAGCGGTTGCTGTTTGTCTGTTTTGCATGTAATGTGAACAGGCAGCATAGGTAATAATCCCCAAAAAGTAAAAAATAGAAGGTTAAAGTCATAAGCATGGGTGTACATGTTTGAGTTTACCAAGGGTTAGGCATACACTCAAGTTTATGCACGTGTTACAAATTTGCTTATTGTGAAACTCTTTTGGATGTCGTGTTCATTTTTATCTGATTTGCTACATCCTGCTGTCTTTGAAGATATGGAAGGCCAAGGAGTGCTTAAATCTCTTTCCAAACAGCAAAACTGTGAAGGCTGAAGCTGATATTATTGATGCACTTACTATAAAACTTCCAAATCTAGGAGTGACTCTGCTGCCTATGCAGTTTCGGCAGATCAGGGATCCTATGGAGATTATTAGAATGGTAATTACAAGTCAAAGTGGGGCCTATCTCAATGTGGATGAACTCATAGAAATTGCCAAGCTCTTTGGTTTAAATTCTTCAGATGATATAGCAGCAGTAGAAGAAGCTGTGTCAAGAGAGGCTGCAGTTGCAGGTGATCTTCAGCTGGCTTTTGATCTTTGTCTTGCTTTGGCAAGAAAAGGATATGGTTCTGTGTGGGATTTGTGTGCTGCAATTGGAAGGGGGCTTGCTATTGATGACGTGGATATAAAATCTCGAAAGGAGCTCCTAGGTTTTGCATTGTGCCATTGTGATGATGAATCAGTTGGGGAAATTCTGCATGCATGGAAAGAATTAGACATGCAGAGTCAAAGTGAGAAATTAGTAATGTTGTCAGGGACTGAACCCGCTAACTTTTCTGTTCCAGGCTCGTCATTAATGTCCTTTCCTTTCCAGAATATCCAAGGTAATATTGAGCCCAGAGATTTATCTGAACTGGTTGCCAGGAGTGATTCCCATGCTGATATTATGCAGTTTCTAGACAAAATCAGAGGCTTACTCTCCGCTGTTGCAAAAACTGCTTCATGTGAAAGTGAGTGTTCTTGGGACTCAATAGTGAAAGAAAATGGAAAGATTCTTAGCTTCGCTGCTTTGCAACTACCTTGGTTGCTTGAGTTGTGTGGGAGTAAAATAAACATTATGGAGAGAGCGGATAATGGAAGAATGAATCTTGATGGAAACCAAAACCGAAATGTAAGAATGCAAGCCCTGGCAACCATCATGTGCTGGCTGGCGAACAATGATGTTGCTCTGAGTGATCATCTGATCACTTCTTATGCAAAAGAAGTAATACTAGCACCTAACACTGGAGAAAATGATATTCTTGGGTGTTCGTATTTGTTAAATCTCTTGGATGCCTTCCGTGGAGTGGCGGTTATAGAAGAGCAACTGCATATAAGAAACGGGTATCAAGAAGTTTCCAGCATCATGAACATGGGGATGACATATAGTTCCTTGCACAATTTTGGCTTTGAATGTGGGGACCCTGAACAGAGAAGACAGCTACTTATCAATAAATTCCTAGAGAAGCAGATGTCTTTCAATTCAGGTAATCCACTTTCCTGTAGAATTCATGTTCTTCATGCTATATTTTGAGCTTATGGTTTTCACCGTGCAATGGATGTTGGTAATCTTTAATTGAATCAAGCGATGAGAGCCTGTGAATTGTTGTAAGATGTCGAATGTGATTTTGTTTATTGATTTTCACTTAAAAAATCTATTTGGATGTTACTCATATTTTTGCATTAAGTGAGTGCAGGAACATCAATTACAAGATAGAAAGATCTGGTAATATTGGATATAAGTGACACATGAATATTTGAATTTCATTTTCAAATAACTATAGTGACTTTGTGCTACAAAACTTCTAATGCCTTAGTAATTTGTCTAATGATTTAGGAATGTGCACTTAATCTGAAGAATGAAGCATCCAAATGTTTACATGCTCCCATGATTGTGGTCATTTAGACATGCCAGAAAAAATTATCATTTTAGCGTCTGTGGTTAGTGAATGAAAGAATGTGTATGTCACTGACACCTTGCCTTGTCTTTGCGCCTGTTTTTGGTTGCTTGTGAGATGTAATGTTTGGCCTGCTTTCAAACATATACATGTTAGAATGTGTGTACGCATGTCTTTTTCCATTGTAAGTGTCATCTCTTACTTTTTTTCCATCTAAGCTGTTATGCCATAATTGTTATCAAATGCCAACTAGATATGCTGGATGGGATCGATAATGCCCAATCTACATTTTGGAGAGAGTGGAAATCAAAATTAGAAGAGCAGAAGAGATTAGCTGATCGGTCAAAAGCTTTGGAAGAAGCAATACCAGGAGTTGAAACTACACGCTTCTTATCTGGAGACATGAACTACATTCAGAGCATTGTTTACTCCTTTGTTGAATCCGTGAGGCAAGAAAAGAAACCGGTTTTAAAAAAAGCCATTAAGATTGCTGCTGAGTATGGCCTCAAGCAGAATGAGGTACTACTCTTACCCATAGCCGCTGTAGATGATACCTGCTTGAGTTATCTAGAATTATAATTCTATGGTCCATGTTATTGTCCCTTTCCATTGGGTTCCTACCATCCATTGAAATGACCGATGCTGATGAAGAGAATGGTAAAACACCTCATAAGGACATGACCCTAATAATGGGTCCATTGATGGCCCCGTTGACTTTGATTTTCCATAGTTATGTTCCCTTCCGTTGTATGTTCTCATCTTATTGCTGCTCCTTGCTGCAGGTGCTTCTTACGTATCTTGGTTCTGCTCTCGTGTCTGAGGTTTGGTCAAATGATGATATTGCTGCTGAAATTTCAGATTACCAGAATGAACTGCTCAAGGATCCAGAGGGAGTTATTAGAATGATATCTACAAGTGTATACCCTCTGATTGATGGGATAAACAAGCTACGCCTTGCCTACCTTTACAGTATTCTCTCTGACTGCCATCTTCAGCTGAATAAGACTGCAGGCCTACAATATTTGCAGAAATGTGGAATGGAGTTATATCAATTTTGCAAGGTCCTTGAACAAGAATGCCAAAGGGTTTCCTTCATCGAAAATTTGAACTTTAAGAATATAGCTGGATTGGATAACCTAGTTTATGACCATTTCAATGAACAAGTTCTTAGTCATGTTTCTCAAACAAATGTGGAGGCTCTGGCAAAAATGGTTCAGAACCTTGTTGGTATTCATGAACACCTTTCAGAAACCAAGGGTCTTATCACATGGAAGGCAGTTTACAAGCAGTACATTATGAGTCTGTTGAAAGGACATTCAGACATAGATAATGGAGTGGTAGATGATCATCCCTTTAACAGTGATGATTTTAGGGTTACTATTGGTGAGCTTGAGAGCAAGTATGACTCTTGCAGGGTTTATTTAGAAGGGATTTCAGAAGGAGATTTGTTAGAAATCATGACAAGGTTCTATGAGTTGAGCCTTCCTCCTAACCCTGGGATGTTATCAACTGAATCGACTGGACTGGAATGTCTCATTTTGCTACTGACTTTGTGGGTTCGTTTGGCAGATGACATATTGGAGATTGCATCTCATAATGAATTGGAAAGAGATTGCATATTATTTTGCTTGGCAACTTTGTCAGAATGTTTGAAGTCTTTTAGTGGTTTGGTTATAGAGGGTAGAATTTCAGCTCACCGTGGGTGGGAAACTGTTTCCCTGTTTGATAAAACTGGTCTTTTGAGTGCTTTGACAACTGACCGATTCGGTTATTGCAGAGCCATGGTTTATGCTGGCTGTGAGTTCTCAACCATCTTCAAAGTATTTTTTGAAGTACTCCCTTGTGCTCCAACCTCCTCATTCATGTATGAATCTAATCTTCAGGGTTTTGAGCTTCATGATTTTTATTTAAATGTCATGGAATCAATTTTCTCTGAATTAGGGAGCAGTGAAGTTTCCCAAACACGGTTGGCTAATCTGTTATCTTCTCTTAGCAAGATGGAAGACACTGGTGTAAGTGATTGTGTCGTGAATTTACAGAAGGTGAGATCGATGGTGTGGGAAAGGCTGAATTCTTTTGCTGAGAATATGCAGCTGCCAAGTCAAACACGTGTATATGCTTTGGAGCTCTTGCAATGTATCACTGGAAGACATGTTGTACGATCCAAGTTTCAACCATGGGAAGGGTGGGATGAAACATTATTCTCAGAAGGCATCGATATTTCTGAGCAACGTAAAGAAGGTGGTGTGCCAAGCAGGTTAAGAACTTCTTTGGTTGCCCTCAAATCAACTGATCTAACTTCAGCTGCCTGGCCTGGTGTAGAAATAACCCCAGATGATCTCATGACAACGGATTCAGCTTTCTCCATTTTCATGCGCCTCTCTACCAGTTCAGCCTTGTCATCACATATGAACACTTTGCAAGCTCTTCTTGAAGAGTGGGAAGGGCTCTTTACACCTATGGATTTGCCTTGTTCAAGTATAGATGTAAAGGATAGTGCAATATCCACCGATTCCCATGATGGGTGGAATGGGGATGAGTGGGATGAAGGGTGGGACACTTTCCATGATGAGCCATTGGAGAGACTAGGCCAAAGGGTACCATCAGTTTGTGTCAATCCTCTTCATGCTTGCTGGTTTGTCATCCTTGAGAAGCTCTCTGTGCAGTCTCAGTTTTCAGAGGCAATGAAATTGCTCGATCATTCAGTGTGCAAGCAAAAAGGTATATTGATAGCTGAGGATGAGGCCCATAAATTAAGCCAGTTTTTACTGGGCATCAGTTGTGTCGTAGCCATCAAGATTATGCTGCTACTTCCCTATGAAACCATTTGGTACCAGTGCTTAACTGTGCTTGAGGCCAAGCTCAAAGATGGCAGTGTCTTGCTTGACAACTTAAGCAGGGACTACGAGCTATTAACAATTATGCTCACATCAGGAATCCTTTCGGTTGTAGCTCTTGATTTGACTTATGGCACCACTTTTTCGTGCATGTGTTACTTGACCGGGAGTCTCTCGCGTATTTATCAAGAGGGTCAGTTATCTATGTTAAAGAATAAGAGGACTGAAGAGCATTCCTGCCTCCTTTTCTGTGGGCTACTCTTCCCTTGTTTCATTGCGGAGCTTGTTAGAGCCAAGCAATATTTAGTAGCCGGAGCATTTGTGCTGCAATTTATGCATGTGCACCCTTCTCTTTGTCTTGTCAATGTTGCAGAGGCCAGCCTTTGTAAGTATTTGGAAGGACAGATTCAAACCCAAGAGAACAATTCATCTAAACTTGACGATTTGTGCTCGTCGAACACTATAGGGAACACGGTTTCCACATTAAGGGGTAAACTCAAGGGCCTGCTTCGAGATGCTTTATCTTCTCTTTCTGCTGATATGAAATGAAAGAGAGTATATATTTCCTGTTTTACTTGCTATTCCTTTATATTTTGTCTCATCTCTTTTGTCATTGATTTCACTTGAGTGTCCTAAAAATTTGTTGGTTATTCTTCTTTGTATTTCAAACTTATTTCTTGAAAATTTTGGGACCTTGCTTATTTAAATTACTCGGAACGTTTAGAAGGACAGATTCAAACCCAAGCGAACAATTCATCTAAACTTGACGATTTGTGCTTGTCGAACTCTATAGGGAACACGATTTCCACATTCTGGGGTAAACTCAAGGGCCTGCTTCGAGATGCTTTATCTTCTCTTTCTGCTGATATGAAATGAAAGAGAGTATATATTTCCTGTTTTACTTGCTATTCCTTTTTATTTTGCCTCATCTCTTTTGTCATTGATTTCACTCGGGTGTCCTGAAAATTTGTTGGTTCTTCTTCTTAGTATTTCAAACTTATTTCTTGAAAATTTTGGGACCTTGCTTATTTAAATTACTCGGAAGGTTTAGATACTCTGTTATCAGAGCTTCAGATGGTCCTCCAGCTCTGATAATTCAAAGGAATCTCTTTGGGCTTTTTAAGGGCGTTGGTTTAAGATATCACCCTTCAAAAAATAAAGTAAAAGAGAAGGGAAAATATTTGGCGACAACTACATTGGTTTTTTTTTTTTTAAAAAATATTGGATCCCTGTAGATTCTGAAATGATTTTAATCTAGCTAAAAACTAAGGCATCCAAAACTTAACGAACTTTAAATTGCCAAATTCACAGTATAGACTATTAAAAACAGCATCGCATTGTTGAAGCAATTTATCAGTAATTATTAAATAACACACACTCAGCTTAAATCTGTCATAAAATCGCCCGATCAGCCACCATGAAAATAAGGCGAAATAATGAAGTCAAAATATTCTGCGCTGCCGCCGTGGAAGCATATCCTCCATTTATTCCTTTGTGTAAACCCCTATGTAGTGATCCCTTTAGGAGCACAAATTTTTGGCAGGTTTCCTCAACCCGGTGACATGCTTCGAAATGAAACTCCAAATGCACTATCCATATGAGACTCTGATGGTTAGTTCCAAGCGTTAAAAGAAATCAAAATCAAAATTCTTATTTTAAAAGAGAGCCTCTTGTGATTCTTCAGTGGATCTCAAAATTTCGAATTACCCTTAATTTACTATGTGATTTTGGTTTTTGTAAGAAATATTAATTTTTATAGTACTTTTTTCATACGTAAATATTACTAAAAGATAAGAGGTATTTTTGTTATTTTCATAAGGGATAAAATTGAAATCTTTATTGAAGGACAAGTGTATTTTACAATATTTTTACTAAAGGACAAGTGTATTTTGCAAATGAAGTTCGAAGGTACGAACTTTAAAAATGCTATTATCCCTTCTAAAAACTTTTAAATTTACTCGTAGTGATTAAGTTAATCAGTAAAATAAATTATCAAAAAAAATAATGATTAATAATTTTTAAAAACAAATAATTATTTTTGAGATTATTTACAAAGAGACCATTTACCTTTTGTACAAGGTGGTCACAATTATTCTTGTCTCTTAAATTTCAAAATGAGTGGTTGTAAGAGTGTCATTGATTAAACACAGTTTTAAAAAAAGATTCTTGGACTTCTTGACTCGCCTTAAGCCATCCAATTTGACATCTAAAGAGTGGGAATAGTTGTGGCCACCTTGTACATAAAATTAATGGTCTCTTGAAAGGCCGATGTATCACAAATAATATCCTTATGCAAATGAGCTCATATCTCTTTGCCACAGGAACTCTGCTAGAGCCAAACTGTGTTTGCTAGACTTGCGTAATACTTATGATAGAGTTTCATGGTCTTTATTACTGCACGATTGTATGTTTTGGGGTTTTCAAATACTTTTATTGGATGGATTCGTATGTGTATCTCCACTCATTTTTTATCAGTTCTGCATAATGACTCCCCTATAGGGTTTCTTTGGGTAAAAAGAGGTCTTAGACAATGAGACCCTTTATCCCCCTATCTATTTTTGCTAGTAATGGATTTTCTCAGTACACTGTTGGATCATGCTATGTTGCAAGGGTGTCTCATCTTGTCTATGTTGATGATGCTATGATTTTTTGTAATGCTTATACTACTGTTATTGGGGCTATGAAATCTATTCTCTCTGTTTTTGTAGTAACAATAGAGTAGAAATTCAATATTGCAAAAAGAAAAGCCTTCTTTTTTGGGGTTTCGCAAGGTACTAAAACTCGGATTATGAAGGAGCTTGGTCTTGGTGAAGGGCCAGTGGGATACCTAGGTTTGCCTTTATTTCATAGTAATTTAAAGCACAGTCATTGTCACAGTTTGGTTGGCAGGGTTATTGGTAAAATATGCACTTGGCAGGCCCTATCTCTTTCTTATATAGGACGGCTACAATTGTTGAAATCAATGCTAAGTGCATCAACTATCTTCTGGAGTCTTTCATTTCTTCTACCAAAGAGAACTTGCAATATGATTAAACGACTGCAAAGGAATTTCCTATGGGCAGGCATGGCTGAGAAGAAAGGTTCACATCTTGTCAAATGCAAAACAGTTTGCCTCCCTCAAGACGAGGGGGGGCTTGGGGTGCACGATATTAGTGATTACAATATTACAAGGATGATGAAAGTAGCTTGGCGTATTTTGGTAGATTTTTCCTCCTTGCTAGCTCGTTTTTGTAAGCGCAGATACTACAAAAATTGTTCCATATGGGAGACCATCAAGAAGAGATGCTGTTCTCATGCGTGGAGGGGTATTCAATTAGGATTATCTCACTTGAAGAAAAATGTTCGATGGATTATTTGAGATGGCCGGCTTATGGATTTCTGGGTGGATCCTTGGTTTCAGAAAAATCAATATGGGATTCCTATGGTGTCGATGTCCCTACGGATCTAGGGGTTGTTCTTAAGTCCAAGGTGTTAGATTATATAGTGGGCTCTTCTGAGGTTTGGGTCCTTCCATTGCCTACATTTGCCCATGTTGTTACCATATGGAAAGTGGTTGAGAGCTTTATGATTCCTTTGCAACTACATAAGGACTTTCTTGGATGGATTTATTTTGCAAGTGGTTAATTCTTGGTTAAAGGAGCGTGAGTCTTTATTCATCGTCAGGGAGATTCTCAGCCTATGTTAAGGAAACTAGGGTCTTTTAAATGTCACACCAGACCTAAATGGTTTTCATGACTGGCCCTTCATCACAGATAAAATGGTTTTCATGACTGGCCCTTCATCACAGATAATCTTCTATATATTTGCTGCAGTAGCATGATATTGTCCATGCACTTTCTGTATGTCCCTTTTATAAAAACAGTGATGATAGTTTATGTTATTTGTTGTTTCATTGTCATTTCTCACTTAATATATGGAGAACAATTGTATGGAGGTGTGGTAAGCACTTTATCTTGGGCTCTTCTATTCCTATCATGGTGAAAAACTGATTAGCCTTTAGATTCTAGTTAGATAGTATTTTCAATATCTGGTCTTCTATCCTTTTCACAACTATCTGGTTTTTATGGGCGGAATGGAACCAGAGAGTTTTTTAATCGAAGATTGCAAGAAGAGAACAATTAATCAAACATATTACCTCTCATATCAGGGACTTAGCAGAAGATATAGTATGAGTCTTTCACTTATCAGAAATGGCAATCATTGGAAATTTACAAATCACATGGTGCCAACAGAAATCAAAATCCATCATTCTAGTTGCATGTTCTTTTCCTAGCCCCGGCATTTTAATCTAAATATTGGTGGTGCTTCCTTGCAAAACCCTGTTCTAGTAGGTGATGGAGGTGTTATCAAAAGTAGTGATGAGGCTTTTTTTGCTACGTTTGCCAAACCCTTCGGTATCGCCTATAATAATTTTATTAAATTCTTTGCTTTGGAAGAAGGTTTGACTCTCGCTAGCTAGATGAATTTCTTTTCTCTTCAAATTGAAAGTGATTCATCTTTTCTCGTGGATGTTTTGATTGATCACTGGCATTCCCCATGGGTTTACATACAGTTATAACCAATGTGCAAAGATGCATAAACTTAAAAATTTTCAGTAACTTACAAAGCCCTGATCATGAAATCTTGGAGGCGCGGTAAAAAAATTATCTCAGACACATCTATGTCAAAATTGCTTAGGCGGATTAAAGTTAGACGGTTCATTGAATGTCTAGCTATCCCTATTTCTTACCTCTATTTAGATGTTATGGGAGGAACAAAATCATCGAGTTTTTTAGGGGAACGTTTGCAGACAGGTGCACTTGCTCAGGAGGGTTACCTCTCATGTTAGTGAGTTGGTGGATGCTAAAGCCTAGTCCTTTTATTTATCAAATATAGCAATCGTTGATAACTTTTAGATCATATGGAGACAACATCAAATCAAGTAACACATACCGATTGCATGGTATTTTCCTAGTCCTAATCATTTCAAATTGAATGTTGATGGTACTTCACTTCAAAACTCTTGGATAGCAGGTAATGAAGGCGTAATTAGAAGTGATGATGGATCCTTTATCACAGTATTTAGTAATCCCTTTGGTATAATATCAAATAACTACGCTGAGTTTCTTGACTTGCAAGCTAGCGTTGACTTGGCCATCTAGCTCAAATGTTTCTTCATGCAGATAGAGAACAACTCATTATTGTTAGTTAATACAATCCATGATCCATGCAAAGCTCAATGGGCATTATATGTTGTTGTTGCTAACTGCTTATATAAACTTTATGATCATGCTCGGTTCCTTATCCATGTTTATCGTGAAGCTAACATGGTGGTAGCTTTACTTGCCAAGACAACTATAGCTTTCTCAGATGCCACTATTTGGTGATCTAGACTGCCGGATTTCCCTTCTCTTGGATTACTTAAATGATGTGACACAACTTCTCTATTCTAGGGCTGTAAAATTATGAGTTGTAATTTCCTTTATTATTAATGAAAATCGGGTGAAGGGCCTTCTCCCCTACTAATTACCCCAGAAAATGAAATCATATCCACATAGACTCCTTGATGAAGACAAATTCTCCTTAAAATATATATTAAAAACAATACATAGATCTTACTATTGGTCCAACAAGAGTTCTACTCACAAAACCTACTTAGATTGACAATAATATGAAT